CGTAAGATGACAACGGGACAAAATCTTCGGGAACATTTGTATTGATTGGTGGTCCACCAGGGAGGTAGATGTTGAATAAGAAGTCGAAGGCTCCGTTTGCGGTGACGGTACCGACATCGCCGATAGCAACCCCAGACCTTCTGTACTCCTCCGGCAATGTAATTTGTGGCCCAGGCACGTACAACGGGAAGCCCCGCCCCTGAAGAAGCAGTTGATCGGAATAATTCCCGCTCTCCGGGTGCGCTGCGGCCTGAAGTGGGATGTTGTCAAGAGGCGGAGAAGATCGGAGCAATAGTTGTACAAACAATTTGGGGTGACTGTCCTTGGCGTGGTTCCGGCTGGTATATGATCATATTGCCTTGCACGCTGGTGAAATGCGACTCTCGAATACTGAAGCCCGTGGCATTCGGAAACATGCTGGAAGCACTGAAAAGAGAATCAGCTCCTGAATGCGAAAACCTTTGTGGCCCCTACTGCGGACCTTGAAGAGGCCGCAGAGCCGAGGGAGCGTTCGCTATACGGCACAGCGGGATTAATTTGCTCCATACTATAGGCAACTCGACTTGAGGAGGGTAAAGAGGTGAGCGGAGTCGTCGAAAACCACGCCGATGAACTGATAATCGATTCGCTATAATAAGACCCCGCATGCTGTGATAGTGATAGTGATAGTGATAGTGATAGTGAAATAGCTGTAAAGGTCATGGGTGAACGAAGTACAGCACAGCATGTCAGTCCAAAATGCGCCGAGAAGGATTCTGCCGAAAGGCTGTGGAAGAGTAGTCTCGACTCTCGAGATAAGAAAAAAAGGTGGAGACCGATAGAAAATGTCAATCCAGCTTCGAATTCTCTATCGTGAAGCCACGACGATCCAGAGTCCGCGGTGCGTCTCTCAATGGCCATTGGATTTTCGGAGCAAGAGCCTAGCAAGGTGATCAAATCGGTCCCATGCCTATGATGTTTGCTGGAAGCATCCTTAGGAAGCCTGTCGAAATTTAGAATGGAAAGAGAAGGCGCTTTAATACTGGGCACAGGGTGTACGTTTCTGAACCTAAAGTCAAGAGGAATAAGCAGAAACGAAACGAGAAGGAACAGTTAGTCCTGATACATCAGCAAGGGAACAGCGCCTAGAAGACAAAAAACAGGGCCTGCAATCCGATAAGCGCACCGCCCCGTCTTACTGGTATTGTAGTAGAGGCTCAATATATGGCTCCAGCGCGTGTTCCGTACACTGCGGTGCGTTTTCATACCGGATTGCAAGGAAGTGTAGGGGAAACAGCAGAGGAAGGAGACGGAGGATAACTCACTATCGTACTATCCACAATGGAAGGCAATCTCACGAAACAGAGGCTGCGTGCTGAAGGTTTGGTTGAGCCTTGCGGTTCCGGGGAATGGGAGAGTGCCATTCAGGATAGATGCAAAAGCAGAAGGAAGAAAAAGGTCTTTAACCGTTTAGAACACCGCAGGGAGTCGAACCCCATCTCGCCGGTAATTTTGTAGCTTCTGGAAAATTGCTTTGGTGTGTGTTCTGTACACCGCAATGTTCTGTAATCAACCCAAGGGAAATAAGTTTGATTTAAACGGGAGTTAAACACCAGCGGAAAGACGGAACATCACCCACAGGTTGAACGTTGAGACCGTGTTGTCGATATAAAGTGGGTGTCGAAAAAAAGGATGGAGAAAACAAAACCGCCCTTCCTTCGCCTGCAGTGCACCGCAGGGAGTCAAACCCAATCTCGCCGGTAATTTCGTTACTTGACAGGCAAATTGATTTGGCGTGCGTTCCGCACACCACAATGCATCTCTGTACCCAACGCATGAGAAATAAGCGCGATTGAATATGGGAGGAAAACGTCAGAAGAAGGAGGAACCATCACCAGCAGGCTGAATGTCGAACTCGTGTTGTCGATCTGAGGTCCGTCTTGAAAGAACGGGGGAGAAAAAAAAACTACCATTCTATCTCAGTGCACCAGGGGGAGTCGAACCCCATCTCGCCGGTATTTTGCCTGCATGCTAGCCAATCTATGGTTCCAGCGTGTGTTCCGTACACCATGATGCGTTTCTGCAACTGGATTCAAGGGTTAGTGTGCGGTTGAAATGTGGGAGGAAGAGAACTCAGCGTCGCGTTATTCACCTCGGAAGCTTGGTGTCAGGTGAGGGTTTGGTTGAGCCTTGCGTATCCGGGGGAATGAGAGAGTGCGATTGAATTAGGATAAGAGTCTCGGCGCATGGCACTCTGCTGAAGAGAAGAGACCACGGCATCGCAGGAGTCAAACCCCGACTCACCGATATTGTGCCTTGCTCACTAAATTTCGAGGAAAGAGGGCATATACCGTGCGTTATCCACGGTGATGGTTGAACGATTGAGGGAGTGCTGTTCGTCCAGCTTTACCAGAAGAAATTGAGGGCATCGCGACAAGGAAAGTAAACGGAAGAAAAAACAGGTTCATCATCCCTGGTTTATTGCACTGCGGGGAGTCAAACCCGTCTTGCGCGTGTTTTGTGCTTGATACTAGGTAAAGTATGGCTCCAGCGCATGTCACGGTGCGTTTCTTTAAATGGCTGAAGACGAGTGGGAGCGCAAGGCGGAGATGGAGAGGAAACAGAAGCACGACTTGACGTCAGCATTTCGGCAGGCTCCAAAATCGTTCCCGGTCAACTGGGCTTTGTTGAAGGAGTGGTTGTCGAGGAAGAAGACATGAACAAATTATGCCAAACTCCGAGTTGACAAGTGCACCATAGGGAGTCAAACCCCGTTTCGCTGGCCAAAGTTGGAAGAGCACCTCAAGGATCCAGCGTGTGTTCCGTACCATAGTGCTTCGAAATGGCAGGATCTATAGGGTCACGCTGATGAATCCGGCGAAGTGATGAATTCGCTTGCGCAAGACATGGGCCAGGGAACCGTGGGTACTCGTGAGGTTAAAAATCCAGTCGGGGGTATAATAGCGTAACATAGATATCACCTTCTGGCACATGAGACCTAGGAAAAATGCGCTTTCCCTTCTGGGCCTGATAATCCCAGATAATCAGCAGTCCGAGCGATCCGGCTGTCGTCGATGCGCGAGTCGGACGTCACCGAGGACCGCCACAAATTGGCATTTGTACGCCCGTTCCGGAACCTCTTTCTGCCTACATCCGAGGGAGCCCGCCTTTTCATAATCGTAAATCCTAAAGCGGAGAGACAAAGCGCTGAGTGAGCGAAAGAGCTGAGCAAGACCCCGTCCGAGAGACGCATAAATCAGCCGTCACGTGGATCGCCTAAACGAATTCCCGATATAGCTAAGGCATGCCCAAATCAGGCAGGGCATTCCCATCAGCTCCCACCGACGCGCATATAAGAGGCGTGACGCCGCCCAACCGCCTCTTGACTCCGTACCACCACCATCTCCCAATCCACACTCACAATGTCTTCCCCCAAGATCGCCATCGTCATCTACTCGATGTACGGCCACGTCGCCAAGAGTCAATTCCTTTTCTTCTCTTTTGTCGTCGCCTTTGCTGACGCTCTTCGCAGTGGCCGAGTCCGTCAAGGCCGGCATCGAGGAGGCCGGTGGGAAAGCTACGATCTACCAGTACGTGTCCCAGCTTGAACCGCACCCCGGGAGATGCTGATAATCGCGCAGAATCCCCGAAACGCTCCCGCAGGAGGTTCTCACCAAAATGCACGCGCCCGCGAAGCCTGACTACCCCATTATGGACGCTAACACGCTCGCCACCTTCGACGCGTTCATCATGGGCATCCCCACCCGTTACGGTAACTTCCCGGGCCAGTGGAAGGTGCGTCTCTTCTTTTCTTCGTCTCTTCTTTCTCTGATGATTATATATGCAGGCCTTCTGGGACACGACCTCCGGCCTCTGGGCGACGGGCGGGCTCGCGGGAAAGTACGCCGGCGCGTTCGTGAGCACGGCGGGCCCTGGTGGAGGACAGGAAGTCACTATCCAGAACGCAATCAGCACCCTCGCTCACCACGGCGCCCTCTTCGTGCCGTTGGGATACTCGCATGCCTTTGGTCAGATCACGAACCTCACGGAGGTGCACGGCGGTGCGTGTTGTTCTTCTCGTTTTTCTTCTTATCCCTTCTCTTCTCTTCTCTTTTGTTTCCCATCCCATCCCATATCTCCTCTTCCACACACATCCCTTGCTTTCGCATTCTCACCTTGCCCTTCTTTTCCGTTCCCTCGCCTTCCGTCATCTTGCCCGTCATGCACGCATTCTTCCGTTCTTCCCTCGTCGTTCGAGCGGCGAGTGGATAGCCGCCAGGTGTTACGGCACCAGGATCTGCATCCTTGCACGTCCGTTTTCCCCTTTGCCCGCTTGCCCCTTTTGCGCTGCTGTTCCCTTGGTATCGCCTACGCGCTTCTAGCGGCATAGAAGTGTTCTTCGTCCCACGCGTATACACCGTCGTCCACGCGAGCCCACGACTCAGCGCTCGCGCTGCTGGTCGTCTCCAAGCGCATGTATGATGGAGCGCTTCTATGTCGCCCCACGCGCGTACACGCGCATACACCGTCGCCCACGCGCGTACACGAGCGTACACCGTCGCCCACGCGCTTGCACAGGTCGTCACGCGCGTGTTTATGCGTACATTCTCTACTCGCTTCTCTCTTCCTCTTCCTTCCTTCTCTTTCCCTTCGTATCATCCGTTTACTAACGCACCTTTAGGCTCCCCCTGGGGCGCAGGCACCTACGCCGCGTCGGACGGCTCGCGCCAGCCGACAGCGCTCGAGCTCGAGATTGCGCAGATCCAGGGCAAGGCGTTTTATGGGGTTGTTAGTAAGGTTAAGTTTTAAGCGCGCGCGTGAGCGAGGGAGCTATATGCCTGAGTAGAATGTGAACGAACAGTTGAATTGTCAAATGTACTTTTTTTCTTCTGTTTTTCTTTCATTCGATTGGATTTGGGAAGTTGTCGTTTATGAGACAAATCTTTCGCGGTGGGGAGTACCAGCCTTGCGAGCGCCAGCCTTTCCATCGCCCTTGACCCGCCGGAAAAGAAAGGTGGTAACGCACCGTGGTGTACGGAACACACGTTGGATTGTTGGCGGGATAAGCAACGTGAATATCTGACAGGACTGGGTTCGACTCCCAGCGGTGCCATGTGGAGACACAGGATTTTTTGGTTTCTTTGTGAGGTGCTTCGTACGTCTTTTAGACTTGTGGTAAGGCTCTCCCGGGCGACTCAATAGACTCTACAATTTCTTGGAACATAGTGTGAGGGTTTTTTTGGAAAAAATCGCGCGCGCGTGAAAGAGTTGAATTAGAGCGCGCGAAAGAGTCCAGAGTTGGGAATTTGGCTCTATAAGGTATGGCGTGTAGTATGGCGCCAAAGGAGGTATACGGCTATAAGAAACCATTCTCAAACGGACGACCCATTGATCCCCATCAGTTGCGGGTTCCAGTCAGCTGGCCGGCAGTCCTCGGCATTGTCCAATATACTTATGATACGACCTATTTTTTTGTGTTTCGCGTGAGTGATAAATTACGGGTCTCTGCGCTGTCGCATATGGACTGACTCGCAAACTCAGGATACAAGTCGGGCTATGCGAGCTTGTCAGCAAGGTCGCGTTCTCGCAACCTGTTCGCATCCCTAGTACAACCACCTTGTTGCCGACTTTGGCGGACGGGAAGAAGGGCGCGGTGTCTCCGATGAGGCTTAGCGGTTCCCCCTAAGCGACCAGCGATCACGCTCCCCATACGCGGCATGCAACATGGCCACCCACAGCACCCAGGGGCTTATTTACTGTTCAAATATTTTATACTCCAAGGACTATAGCTGGTTTTGTATGTATACACACGAGTCATATTAAACCAGGGAGTAAACTATTCGTTTGCCAAATCCATGGCACCAGTGCATGTAAGCTAGCAGCGAAGACAGAGACAAAGGTAAAAAAAGCATCCTGGAGTTCTGGCGGACCGCAGTCTGCTCAGATGAACTATGTCTTGGACGATTTCGACTCCATAGCGGTCATTTCGATTTCGGACGAGGCGGTCTCTGCAGTGGCGCTCGTCGTAGACTGTATAACAAGTTTGTCGTTGGAGTTGTATGTTGAAATGAGAGAGAGTCTAATACTTACGTTGCTATTGTCTGACCCGCTGGAATTCGGCGTCTGCGGAGGGGAAGGGTGAGTCCGGGTTGATCCAAAAGAAATTTTAGGAAGGAAGAAAAGCGGAGGCTGACGGGTATTGTGAGGAACCCTGTCCGGACGTCAGTCTAGGGAAAGAAGCCACCCAAGTAGCTGGGGATACTTACGAACGCTGCTTATGACATTCGTATTGCAATGTTTGACGACCTCCTGGGCGCGGATGTTGAGATTGAGGAGCTAAACATAGGAGCGCAGTCAGTTAGTTATCCCTCGAAGTCTGGACTCGTGAATTATTCGAGGAGAGACAGACCATGCTGAGAACATAAGTGCGACCGAGGGAGAACATGAAGCCGGCGGGAACTGGTGTGAAGATTTGATCAACGTTGAAGGTCCACAAGAAAGTGAACATACTATTGGTCTGGTCGTTTATCAAAAATCTGCATTCATATCAATATCGGTGCACGTGAGGTGTACGGAGAGAAGCGGGGACATACGCAACCAGAGCCGCCGTCGAAATCGCTGCAGTTGCCGACCCGGTTTGGATTGCCAGCGCTACAAGACGGTTCAATTTATTGTTGATTCTATGAGGCGGCATGAGCACGCCTATGATTTATCTACTCAGTTCGCACCCTTGTCGCTTGTCAGTGGACATCGAGTTCGCCTTTAGGAACTCCCTGACAAACGCCACAGCGATGGTCAGGTCTGCAGCGACTTGTGTGATTATCCAAAATCTGTGGAATAACATACATCAACTCGAGGCGCAAAAGGCACGAGGGTGAGCTATTAAAGATGGACGACGCACGTTCCCGAGATTCTGACTTTCGTGCGGTCTTTGTATGCCGGGAAGAGCACAACCGTGAGTCCTGACGAGAGGCCTCCGCCAAACTATTGGTAATAAATCGACGTGAGTTCCGTTGAACCAAACGCAACAATTAGCTGAATCTGCGTACCGTAGCCAAGATCAACAAAAACAGAAACGCGACCAGGATTGTGTTGTTCGTGCTGAACGTTCATGGGGTTATGGGTATTCCTACGGGAAACGACTTACAAGCGCCAGTATCGAATCGCTAGGTAGCTTTGGACCAGGATGGCGACGAAGTTCGTGGATATGATGTACAGGGGCACGCCCTGAAGAGGATCGCCGTTAGCAGGGAATAAATACCTGACATAACGAGACGCACCCAGTTCTGTTTGGTGAGGTAGTCCAATTCGCCTAAGCCGGGCCCGAACTCAGTATGAATGTTTGAGAATATGATATTACACACCAGCGTGAGTAATGGCGTACTACGCGGATGTCAGCTGGTCGTTGACGTGCGCGGAGTAGTAGAACTTACGAGGTACACGCACGCGTAATCTCCAAGCATGGAGACTGTGTCGATCGAGAAGGCCGTGATGACTAGTGTCTATCCCATCACTTAGACCAGCCTACAAGCGAAGAAATGGGGAATCGTACCTTCAGTTTCCAGTCATCGTTCTTGAAGCGTCGGAAATAGTACACGGCCTGGAGCAGTTCGGACGTGTACAACAGCTTAGGATTGGTTTAGTGACAGGCGAGCGCGCACGAAATTCAGTCTCACCGAGCTTGCCCAGGTACCGAGAAGAAGCGCACTGTAAGCAATTAATCATTCATTCATTACGAAATTGAAAAAGACATCAACACACCCAGTAAGTGAGTCAAGTCGTGGAAGGGATGTCATTGTAGGTGGGCAAGCCAGTGGGATGATAAACTGACGCTAGACTCTCTTGTGTAAATCTTAAATACCGGGAAAGCAGACGACGAACGTCTGTCGTTGGTCAGCGACAGGCATAGTCCGCACAGTATCCGACGCCACCGTTCGGCGATCACCAGCGTTTCACATGCGCCCAGGGGTATTTTAGAACAGGGTCGTAAAAGTGAATCAGGACCCTACATACCTACCCATTGAATCGGGTAATTTGAACCGAAAATCTTACAATTGTGGATTGCGATTCAACACAATTGGTGTAGATCATCTGGCGCCGTTTCAATGAGGTTCAAGATTTACATTCTGGATTCTTTGCAAGCCATACCCCGCAAAAAAGAAGAAGAAGAAGAACAAAGCAAAATTTCGAGGACTGAGTGGTCTGTACATACTCCAAAAAGTGAATCAAAGGCTCGAGACCCTACCTGCCCTGTCTCGACATCCTAGGGTTCGCACCTAAAAGCTCGGCCGAACGAATTTTCGACACTTATAGAAAGTCCCAAATGAGGGCGTGGACCGGAAGAGTCCGTCGTTGTCATGTTCGCTTGGATGGACTTTGCACGGAGAATCTCTGCTGGGTGCCGATATAGATCTTTATGGCCTGCCGCGCAACCGGCCTGACAAGTGCCCATTTTCGGCTGCCTCACCCATTTAATTCCGCTGCGCAGTCGGAACACATTTTGAAGCCTCTGTCTTGGAGGGCATGACACCGTCGTTGACTCAGAATGCGCTCGGAAGGACGGCAGATGCCGCCCGGCATATATCATAATACCGCCCGGCGAATACCGTGTGGGTTTCGGAGATTACCGTAGTTACGAGATACCTCCCCCCCGTACGAAAGCACCCCAATTCTCGAAATCTTCGGACACGGGAATCTCCCCACGAGATGAGTATTCCCCGGTCCTGAATGCATCAGGCTTTTGACAGATCTGTTGCGGCGTTGTACAACACTAAAAAAGAAAAAAAAAGGCGCATCGACCGGCAACACCAACAATTTTTGCCGAAATTTTGACAATGCCAAAACCACTTCCGTGATATCATCAGAACAGCAATTGAACTCGTGGATGGATATTGTGTGAACCACACTACCTGTTTACATGCCCTGCTAAACACAATAGTTTCGCCAAAAAAACACGTTGAAATGCCGCAATCAAAATGCCAAAAGACTGATGTTCGTGTCCAGCTTTCAACTTCTTCATTCGCGCCTAATAATCCCGACTACGACGGGGAATTACCTACTTGGCGATATTTGTGCTAATGGAGGCGGAGCCTTCCGCGGAAAGGACACAAGCCATAATTCCAACCTGACGGCGATCTGACCCTCCATGCACTGTGTCGGCCAATCTGGTGGATTTGGGGCAGCAGAGCCATGGACGTTTCAAGTTCTGGGGGACCGAAAATGTCCAGAAGAAGGCGGTAAGTTCGAAGGATTCTTACAAAAAACCGCTACGGTTATAGGTCCTCCTTCTCCTCTCTCTCTACATTATATGCGAATCTACTTTCGGAGGAAACGGACCATGCCGCCATGCTCGGCGATGAGCTGAAACAAACTGTAGTTTCGCCGGGGGGAATTAATGTCTGGGGATCAAGGGCTCCTCTGAGATTGGCTCGTCAAAATATTCGCTAAAAGTAATAATCAAGCCTATGTTTGGACTACACAACCTCCCAGCACTGGATTATTTCTTCGTCAAATAACTGAACTTTATTCTTCAAACTGGGCAGATGGATCTGATGTTTTTTTGTAGCAACTCTTTCTGGCAGATCAGTGCCTTGACGTCCTACTAGTGCGAATGCAACAGTAGCATTGACTAAATTCCTTCACTTTTTTTCTTATCCTATTGTTAGGCATTCTTGATTGGAGAAGAATAAGAATTGAGTGAGAACCAAGTACATTTTGTGCTGTCAGGCCAATGTAGGTCCACAGCATCAAGGAGGGATCAACAGAGATTAGATTGGTGCGGTGCCTGTTACGAACGGCGTTTTACTATATACCACCAGCCAGATGCTGCCAGATGTCAAAGTAATGTCAATCCGAAATTGACATTACTCCCTTTTGGCGGAGAGGTTGTGTTTCAGTAAGGATCCCCGGAAGTTGATTGATCCCCATCAGTCCTCGGCGTTGTCCGATTTACGACTTACTATCCCCCCCCTAGATCTCGGACACCCCAAGAAAATTTGCAGAATGGGGTATTGGGTCAGACTAAATATGTAGATCGTCAGGAATCTGTATTTTACCCCCAGATCCAATTGCTACTTCATGAGAAACGGGTAAGAATTGCTCGAACAGCGTCGT